TCTTGGTATGCGTCCGCCACGTGATGCAGCTCGGCGCTCGGACGTGCACGCCATCCACGATTGATCCCGCATGTTCACCAACTTCACTTCTCACTACAACCTCCCCACCGCCCGCCTCCCATTACAAACCTCGCAGCCCGTCCTTTACCGTTCATCACAGTCGCCAAAGTATGAGTCGAGGAGGAAAATTGGCCCCGGAAGTCAACCGGTACGTCCGCCATGCCGCATCGCGTGCCAGTCGCAAGGCCGATGCGACCAACTCACACGACATCTGCGCTAACATGTCATGTCTACAGAGCTCTCTTCGTAAAGAACCTGAGGTTAGTAGATGCCCGCGGTATCTTATCTGCCACGCGCTAATCCTCCGCCAGCTTCAACGTCACCCCAGAGGAACTCTTCGACCTCTTTGGCAAGTTCGGCCCAGTGCGGTACGTCGTCTCCCTCATGCGCTGGCGCATCTTGGCCTTCACCGTCACTCCAGGTTACTGACTTTAGCATAGCCAAATTCGCCAGGGCATCGCCAACAACACCAAGGGCACAGCCTTCGTCGTCTATGAAGACGTAATGGACGCAAAGTCGGCTTGCGACAAGCTCAACGGCTTCAACTTCCAGAACCGGTATCTCGTCGGTACGTGGCAGGCGCTTCTCCGACACAGCAAGCACTAACAGCAGCAGTATTATATCACCAGCCAGATAAGATGCTCAAGGCCGCGAATGATCTCGCCGAGCGCCAAGAGAACTTAGAAAAGCTCAAAAAACAACACGGTATTGATTAGGGGTGCGCGAGGACTCAGGAACAGGTGACATCGCGCGAGCGAAGTAAAGACAAAACTCCTGAGGGCCTCAAGACCGATAGCGTAATCTCTAGAAGCTCTTCGAGCCGCGGCGGCGACACGCGTACCTCGACGACCGATTCGATTTTAGCGGAAAAGACCGGCACTCCTTCCCCGACGACTACACCCGCCTGCCGTAGCTGCGACTGGCGTACTGTAAAACGATCGTTGAAGGGTATATTCAAGTCGGCACACGGCGTTAAGAGGTCATGAAACGTTCACGAACCATGACAGATTGCTGCATTTTCTTGGAGTGGGACTTTACTTAGGATAGCTGGTGATGCATAGGGCTATAACAGACTGCAACAGGCCCCGGCTTCCTCTACAGCGGGCAGTCGGTACTCATCCGACTAGGAATCAAGGACTTCTGGTTCCAGCAATTGCATATGACGCAGTGACATGCTAACACTGATTTTTGAAGGTAACTTCCTCAAGGTCCTTCGCACCTTCCACTTTCGGCTGCATCACGGGACTAGAACCGCCATCTGGCCGAGCTCGTGGTTTTCGCCAACCCAGTCGAAGCCTCTCTCAAAGTCGTCCATCTTGAACTCCGTCACCGAATCAAAACCTTTCTCTTTTCCAAGTTTCAACACTCCCGCTTCGGCCATCTTGATCATTTCCTTCACATCTTGACCCCGGTACATGGCATGACCATGAACCGTGATACTCTTAAACACGATATCCATCATCGGAATTTCCACATCCTTCATCGCGCCGCCACCAAAGCCCATGATACACGCTCGTCCGTACTGCTTGAGCGCGCCAAAAGCAGCACGAACATGTGTACTCCCCTCCGCTCCCATGGGCGTGAACTCGAGAAACGCATCCACGGTGCCATGCTTCTGCAGATTCTTAACATCGACCTCGACGTCGTTCGTTCTCAGGACACTTGAAACAAGCTTCGGATGCGCATCCACCAGCCGCTGAAGCGCGCGCTCATTCCTTCCCGTCACCAAAACAGTCGCTCCCATCGCAACCGCCACGCCCACAGCAGCACCTGAGAAAAGCCCCGTAGCAGGCGTAACAACCAGTCTCTCCCCGGGCCTCAGCCCAATCCCCTTCAGGCCACTATACGCCACAACATCAACACTGAGCTGCACCAACTCCGGTATCGTATACCCCAAGTCCCCACAAAGCCTCTTTTCATCCAGCGCCCAGGTGTTCTCCAAGGGCGCCTTAACATAGTCTGCAAACGTAGCATACCGCCAGTTATCCGCAAAGAGCTTCTTACTCCCCTCACTCGTGCCTTCCATTGCGCCCCAGAATATCCATGTATCAGCGTCGTCGCGGGCGCGGATGAAGGGCTCGAGTAAGACAAGTTGGCCTTCTGACAGACATGTGGTGTCGGGGCCTGTAGCGGCGATTCTTCCCACGGCTCGTCCACCGGGGATCATGGGGGTGGGGTAGGTGAATCCCGCTTTGCCGGAGAGGATACCGGGGGTTTGGTGTTGAAGGAGGTTTGCGAGGATTTTGACGACGACGGAGCCCGGGCCGGGAGTGGGTGTTGGGATCGATTTGGGGATTAGGGGGCCGTTTTTGGTTTCTTGGAGGAGTGCTTTCATTGTTGGGGGGAGGGTGTTGGTGGACATGTTTGGGTATGAGGAATTGTCAGCGTCTTGATGAATAAGTGGTTGTTATGGAATACAATTCGAAATCAGATTTGTGTACCCTTTCCTCTATCCTACCTGCCAGGTTTTCCGTACTTATACCTGTCCGTGACCACATTGGTGTGCACCCTCCATGCCATGTCATCCAACTCGTTCTACTCACCTATCTCCTTCTCGCGCCAAGGCCGTCTACCTTTTCTCGGAGTTTACGCATATTACGCGCTTCATACCTTATTACATTTGCCCTATCTCAGCGATTGAATCATGCTCGCACCACACCTCCGTCGTTGCTACCCAATCAACCAATCAGACCGCCTCGCGACTGCTGTATACGAACGCGGGTTAGACTGGCTCCTTAGCGCAGGTTCCTGTGGACCCTTCCCACGGCCGTTGTATGCAGCACGACCTCATCGCTTACGCCCTGCTCCCACCGGCGATGAAGCACCTAAACCCCGCGTTTCTTCCGTCTCGTATGGTCTTACACGCATATCTAGGTATATAACGGCGGTATGAACTCTTTATACGAGCGCAGGTTAGACTGCATCTACCCACCTCCAATGGCCTTCCTGTTTGTAGGCTTGCCGCACACCTCATAGGCACTTTATCAAGAACAAAACTCAAATCGAATCAACGCTATGCCTGCTCTCGTTCCCAAGCGCAGCGGTTTGTCAGCGGAAAAGGGTGTAAGGAAACGCCGCTGGAATGCGAAATCGAGGAATGGGTGTCAGAATTGCAAGTTGAGACGGGTTAAGGTTAGTTATCTTGACTGTATCTATGAATTAGGCTGGTTGTGCTGATGGTTCTTGGGTAGTGCGATGAGAGGAGGCCGCGGTGCGCGAAATGCGTGACTTATGGCGTGGCGTGCGACTTTGACGATCAGGGGGGAGAGTTGGACGTTCATGTGGAGGGCGTTGGGAAGGTTGACTTTGGGGAGCTATCCACGATTACGCCGCACCATGAGAATAGCGGAGCGACTCGCACGCCGTGGAGCCCGATATCGTTCAACGGTGTTGTGACTTCTATGATTGGAGACTCTCTTCGATCTGGGGCGTCGGCGCTGGATCCAAACATGGGTACTGGACAGTCATTTTGGGAATTTTCGGAAAGTCATCTTGAGATCCTTGCGAGATTTCAGAGTAGGACGTCTTTGACTGTCGGAGGTATGGTATAACATTGAACCGTTTTGAGTATGCGGGCTGACTGACGGAATTCGCATAGGCGAGAGAATGGCCCCAGCATGCAGAGACATAGTATGCCGCCTCACATTCAACGTAACGTCCAACCCATTCTTCCTTTAGCTGTTCAGAACTGACTTGTAGTGTAGCACCCCTTCCTAATGCACATGATCCTCGGCCTAACCCTGATGCACGACTCTGCTCTTGCCCACACTCCCACCCGATCTCTCTCTTTCCAAAACGCATCGCTGCGCCACTGGTCCCACGCCACAACCCAGTACCAGCGTCTCCTCTCCGGTCCCATACCTGCATCCCAACGCGACGCCATCTGGGCCACAGGCGTCCACCTCGGCGCAGCATCTTTCTGGTACCTCGAATCCAACGACCCACACGCCGTCTGGCCGCTAAAGCCTTCGGAGCCAGGCGACCTCGCCTGGATGAAGATCGGAGAGGGGAAACGACATCTCTGGCGTATCGCAGATCCGACGCGGGAGGACAGTGTGTTCAACCGTGTCCTAAAGACGAAAACAGGCCCGTGTCCTACGCCGCCCGAGTGGATGGTTAGCAACGACACCAGTCTCGTGCCTGAGAAGGTCAAACTGCTGTTCGGTATCACGAGAGAGTCTAACAAGGAGAACAACGTTTACCACTTTCCCGTCCTCATCCTCTCGCGCATCCAGCATCTACGCCTATCTCACACCAACGTATTAGATTTCCTATACTTTACCGCGTTTCTCACGCCCGAGTTCCTAGCCCTGCTGGAACACAAAGACCCCAAAGCCGTGTTTTTGCTAGGCTGGTGGTTTAGCATGTGTCGCGATGGCACGCTTTGGTGGGTGACGCGTCGTGCGAGGGTCGAGGGAGAGGCTGTGCGGATCTGGCTGGGGAGGAGGGACAAGCGTCTTTTGGACTTGTTGGAGGAGCTGGGTAGGAGGAGGGTGCATGTTATGGAAGAGAGGTTCTGGGCTATGGAGAGGGTGGTGGATGAGGAGGGGTTTGAGACTAATTGGGCGTTGGATTCTAGAGGGAGGATATTGACGGTTGCTTAAAGACTACCTTAAGAAAGAGGCGCTGTTGTAATTTGAGGTTATACCCGACCCCGACGGAAGACAGCAGTGAGATGTACCAAAGAAAGCTCCTTGGTCTGTTAATACGTGTAGCACGAACACTGCGCCGCATCGCATGTTAGTGAGGGGGTTTAGTGTGATTCAGTTGTTAATAGTAACCGCATTGTAAAACTATACGAGTAACGAGTCCATAAACCTTGGAGCTTCTGTTATGGGGTTTAATATTTGCGAATGATCGCTGGTACTACAGTGGTTTATCGCTGGCGAGCTGCTCAAAGCTTCCGAAATCCATACTACGCCTATTCAATGAGATCATCTTCAGGAACGCGTTGCCATCTGAAGTAGTTCAATTCCAGTATCGGGTTCCGTATCACTCGACAAATCTGTGTCATCTGCGCTTGACTCTGAAGAGTTCACAAGATCGACAAGAGTGGCTTCCGATTGTTGTGCTCGGTTCTTCCACTCCTCCCACTCCTGTCTTGGCGTGTCGAGTTTCTTCGGATAGCCACACTCTCCTAGAGGTTTAGAGAATCGTCGCAAGCAGCGATCTATTGGAGCGGTGAGTGCGTGTGATATCGTCTTTAAAGTGTACTTGAACATGAACCAGGTAGTGATATCTAGCTGCTCAAATACTTCCTCCAGATTTTCTTGGCCGGTACTGGGAACAAGCCAGTAACAAAGGAACCATGCGACAAGGTTGGTGCCTGCGAACAACAAGAGTACGCCGAATTGATCGAGCGCTTTCAGCAGCGACGGGGCCAAGACAGCGAGAAGTCCGGCTCCCATGAAGTTCCAACACACTGCGAGACTCATGCCGAGTTCTCGGTTGACGAGTGGAAAGACTTCTGCTGAGATGACGAAAGCAGCTGGACCTTCCCCGATGGAATACGCGATCATGAACATGACCAAGAAGATGTAGTGGAAAGCGATGGCTGCAGCTCGGTTCGGAATCTTCAGAACTAAAGCAGAGACTAGCAATGAGATGGCCATGGCTGGGAACGACCCGTTCAGCAGTCGCCTGCGTCCGTCGGAGCTGTCGATGTAGAACAGGGCTGGGATTGTAGCGATAAAGTTGAGGAGCATCAACCCAAGGGATGCGCCCAGTAGCTGCATGTTTTGGTCCGGGCTCGTGTGACGGTCGCCATGGAAGAAGGAGTATCGGAAAAAATAATCGGCCATAAAAGCTATCAGGTTGATGCCACACAATTGCTGTGAGACCATCACAGCAATTGCAGCTCGATGTGCTCTCTTCGTATAACCAGAGCGAAAAAAGATCAACGTGACCCTTTCTCGCCAGCTGATATGTTGAATGACCTCAAAGAAAGGGTTTCTTGTATTCGTGGTCCTATCGGCCGCACTGGACGTATATGGACGACGATCCAATGCTGCCTGTAGTCGCCGCTGCTCGTCGATCAGACGCCTATGCATCATGAAAAGTTCGCCAGCGGCAAGTATGGGAACATCTTCGCCTCGGAGATCGACAAGGGATTTGTAGGCCGCCCGAATGAGCTCTCCCCTTTGAGGCGCATTCTCCGAAAGTTCGCCGCCTTCCGAGTGTCTTCCCAAGGCGCCGCTCTCTTTCAACAGCCACCGAGGTGATTCTGCGCAGGAATCAGCATTCAGGAATTAAGAAAATGTATGTACATGAGCCGCTTACCAGGTGAGAAAAGAATCAGTGATAGTAATATCAATGCGGGAATGAACGCAGAAATGAACATGTACCGCCAGCTCGAATGTACATTGAGGCGATACACGGCCATATTCGCAACCGATCCGGCGGCTAGCCCAAATGCCACAAAAAGCTGCCAGAATACCAGCAGAAAACCACGTATGTTCTTGGGTGAGGTTTCAGAAAGCAGAATAGGCACGATGGAGGCTTTGCCTGCCATACCGGCACCTAACAAGATTCGGAACCCGAGAAGATGCTCCCATTTGTGAACCGAAGCAGAGCCTAAAACCGATATGAAGCTAAATATACCCGCGGCGCATATAGCACCTCGACGGCCAAACCGAAGAATTCTGGTGATTGGGTCGGTAATGATTAAACCTAGTACTGCGCCAGCGAAGAACGGTACCCCGACCGTGACTCCGAGCAGCCAGGCATTGTGGTCGAGGCTAACATTGAGATCACCGTCTGTCCGCCTGGTGACGCCGGAGCTGGGGCCCGCGGTGGTAGGTTTACCTAAGTCATTCATTACTTCGATAGCAGCTCCTTCACATTGTTAGACGAGGTTCGGTGTCCAATGCTATCAACTTGTCTTACCAGCCATAGCAGCTTGATCCCAACCCCTGGAGAAACGTCAGGCACTGATTGCTTGCGCTGAGGATCAGCACTTACTGAGTCATCGCTGCAAAGATGCAAGCGACGATCAAAAGCCGATGCAGCCTCGAAAGACTTCTCAGCGTTTCCCACCTACTCTGTGGTAAGAAAGCCTTGTACAAAATCTTACTTTCCAGCCTCGTATATCTCTGCTCGCCGACGCGCAACTCGATGGGTCTTTGGGATGCATCTGGTGCTCCGGAACGCGATTCTCGAATGTCCTCAAATTCAGCTTTGATGTCATCTTGCGATCGAAGCGCGATGACACCGCGAACGAACACACCCCGCCCGACCGGTAATGCATATTTCTTGTGAAATCTTTCGGCTTCTATACGCGTAACCCCACTCAGTGGATTGTAGATGGAGGGACTGTGGGGCATTATCAGAGACGACCGTAACGAATCGTAAGGCTTGCATACATGGGGTTCTCTTCGAGCGTAGGCCTGTGTACAGACGGTAGCGTTACCGGGGAAGTGACAGTATCCGTGGGCGTGGCCATTGTTTCCATGTACTAACAGATGATAGTGTGGAGCAGCACCCAAGGAAAAACGACAGACGTGGAAAAAGGTAACGCGGCTTATACCTGGAAATGCGTCATATATGTAGGCGGCCTATCCCAAAAGCCTGCCGAGACCACGGGCTGGAAGAAGGCAACAAGGCGCCGTGTGCTACATGCCAGCATTCTTTGTCACACATGAGCGACAAGTACGCGGCGTCGTAACCTGAGAATTTGAGGCGTTCTCATAGGCCCTAGTGACGTTGCCAGCTGTTCATCTGTGTGAGATGGGGGTTAGTGAACACAGCCTGGCTGTTGTGGGACATTGTGCCCTCGGGAGCCCGCGTTAGGTTCGCGTTTCCGGCTTAGACAAAAGGTCCTCCAGTCCTCACCGATCAAACCAGCCGCCGATGTGAGGGGCCATCGACAAATAATAAGGTTACAATGGCTTGTAAATGAGGGAGAGACTCCCGTATCATTGAAAATCATCTAAGTGGAGTTGTTGGTCGGATAAGCTGAGAATGATAAAAAATGATGTTGTCGCGATGGAGTGCGAAAGACGCTGCAAGGGCGACGCGGCTCCAAGCGCCCATAACAGTAAGCGCCTATGCATGCCAAGTCCAGTTCCCCCTCGGCAATCACGGAATGTCGGCTGTGCCCAGGTGGGTTGTTTTCCTTTTGCGCGCCCGATGCCAACGAAAAAGAGAGCGCGCGTTTGAATCAGACTAGAACTTGCTCTTCGCCCAGCTATGTAGTCATTGAGTTTGTGCTTTGGTTGAGGCGACATGTTACGCTTTCATCTCGCAAGTCGTAAGTCGCATACACGTTTCTGGTAATTGCGACATCGCTCATTCGATAGCGCTTTCGTGTGTAAGATACTGTGTGTTGCGGACAACATGGGACTCGTCGCTTTGCGACATCGCAATACTATGGTTACCTATCTATCGCGATGTTTCATTACTGAAGCACCGCATCCAGCATCGATAGACACGGATGACTTATGTTCTCAGTGTCTCGACGCTACGACTGACAGGCAGCACATAATGTTCGCTTTAAGTCTACCTAGGTATCTCGCGCCTTGTTGCCATATCGGTGAGACGGCATGAGCCATGTTGTACACAGTATGTTGTTGCGATGGACGAGAACTACCGTTTCAGTACTGACCCATTTCGATATCGGAATTACCCTTCAGTGGTTTGATGCACATGGTCGAACCTATTCCTCCATGCATATCGCTATCACGATACAGTCGCATTCTCCACTTCCAGTATGCCAGCGTCAGAGCAGTCAGAGGGACTGATATCACGAAATATAGCCAGAGTTGTTTCGACAGAACAAGATTGCGAGACTCAGTGTCGAAGTCGACAAGGTTCATCCCAAACATGGTCTATACGTCTTTAGCTGTGTTCAGTCCATACAGTAGAATTGGAGAACTTACAGCAACGAATGAGAATGGAAGATAGAATGAAGTGACGAGCGTAATCGCTCTGATGGCGACTGAGTCCTCTCGCGCTGATCTTCCCATGTCAAAGGTGTTCTTGCTCTGAATCAGATTCAGGGTATCCAGCATTGACTGAGCAGTAGACTGGATCCGTTTGTTCATGTAGAAAACCTGTCCTCTGTATGCTGCAGCATCCCTGCGGAACTGGGTAAGTGCCGCTTTCAGGACGGCAGAAGTGCCATCCATTGCTTCGACAGCTGCAGAGAGGACACTGTTGGCTTCTTGCAGATCATCTATTACTTTTTCGAACGACGCAAGGAGGGGATCGAGGGGCACGATCTTTTTCTCGACAGCACGAAGTGCCTTGAGAGTGTCAAACGTGACGAGTGATTGCGTGAGTGATGTACAGGCTGGTTTCATGTCCTTCGCATCGATCAGTAGATACTCGACGGTTTGTGACCACAGATGAGAATGCTTACTAATTGCCAAAGCTGGGTCTCCTGGTGCTCGAGATAGTCACGCCAAGAGCTTAGATATGAAGATATCAGCATGGAGTGGATCAGCATTGGGTTTGAGAGCACCGCTAGTCTGACTTCTGGCTGTTGTAAAACCTGTTGAAGGTGAACTCTGAAGTGAGCGGACGGGCTTGGATGTATGATGAAGAATACTGATCTCGCCCGCTTCCGATCCACAAGGTGATAGATTCCGGTGTGCCGAATCCGCCACGGGTTTTCTGGGCTATCGACCTTCTTTTCCGAGTATTTGTAGACCCAACCAAACTCTAAAGATTGTTATATTCGTACTTCGAAAGTCTGAGGAAATGATAACATACCAGAGCGGGCGTCCGTGAAGAAAGATTGCGAAGCGCCTGAGTATCCCTCTTCCGTCGGCAAATATCGGTCTTTGAAGTAGACTAGGATCTCTAGAAAACCAGGACTGAGGTCATAATGATCTTTCAGAAGAGTTACCATATCACGGCTAATGCTAAGGGGCGCCCATGTATATTTCTGGTGAAGCGTACTCGAAACCGAATTAGCCTCTGGTTAAAACGAAGGGAACCCACTCACTATATCTCAAAATCACTTCGCGTTCCGGCCATAGTTCTTGCACCGTTCCTCAGATGAGCTGACAGCTGGGACAATGTCGTAAAGACATGAACTGATGAAGTTCGAGATGTATCAGATGTGAAGCGAGTCACTTCGAGAAAATGGTCGGCACTGCGTTTCGAGAATAGATGGTCACAGTCGAGAGTGCGAGCTTGTATCTGCGATGCTGACAAGGCGAGCGCACGCAGACTATCTGTATTCCGGCCATCTTCCTGGCAATGAGGAGACATTTCGGGAAGACGAGTGGCAGCAGGATGGACGGTTACACTATCTTCAACGCGCACTCGAAGATGTCTTTCGTTCTAGCTTGCTATACATGCAAGATGAGCTAATCTCATCCTATGGGCCCCACATTGCCTGAGCAGGCTGACAAGGACAGCACATCAGCCTTTCGCTTCCCTACAGAATTGCCTATCGTTAGCTTTCACCGGTCACAGTGACGATGGGTGTATCGTATTACCTCCACTCATCCTAACGGTGTCAGCATAGGCTTATGCGCCTTCCCAAACGACTTACAGGAGTCAAAAGCTCAGGTGCCTCAAAGGTAAAGTACTCATCTCCCGCTCGTTGGATGTTGAAATTGATGTTGTCACCAAATCTGCCTTTAAGAAAGTTGTGGAGCTTGTCACGACTGTAGTAACGACTGAGGGCTTGCTGCTGTTTCATGGTGGTGGCTGAGCTGAGACAAGGCATAATGTCATCTAAATGCCGCTGAAGGACTTTTATAGCCTGCTGTTATTTGGACGAGGCTGAAATGAGATCGACTCGGTCTCGAGCGTGCCGAGGTATGTCTGCGTTGGCGCGAGCCTATAGGCCTGCTCATACCTAGGTAATCTAAACACGTCGTGTTGCCATAAGGCTGACACAGCTAGGCAGTCGGGTATTCGACAGTGGAAGAATACATGCAGTGTTTGGCCTGCCGCGACACGTTGGTGTGGGTAGAAGCGGCGACCTCGAGAGTTTGTCAACATGCGGCGTCCGCTCGGGGGCCCGCGCCACGCGGCTCCTTGGCCACCGAGAAATGTGGCCCGGGGCCGTCCCCATGGGCAATGTCCCCATGGGCGATGCTGCCCATCACCCACAAGTGTCTTACTGCATCTTTGCCCCACACTTCTGCTACGTTCCGCGCACCTTACCCCACCTGCAATCTTGCTACCGCCCAGAAATAGGCTAATGAGCTCGTGTGGCCTCTTCTTGTCGTTGCAGGGACGATCGCGCATCGTCGGTTCCACCAAGCGCATCTATCCTGGATTTCGGCGCGGGTCCCGTCGCGTACCACGACCAAAGAATACGTGATAATCGACCATCTGAGCGGCCAGGCTCAATGAGCGACAAGCCCGGTTCCTCAACCTTGCGGACCAGCAGGTCTATAGCATGCGAGCCTCAAGTGGCACACTTGACTGAGGAATTGCAAAATGCTGTCAGGCGTACTGTGGAAAATGGGCCCCGGCATGGCAGACACTCTCGCCGCTTCTTGCCAAAGACTGACCTGGATCAGATACTCGGCTACAAGTCACTGGACCTTTTGTTCAGGGAGCTTGCGTGTGAAGATTCTTCCTCTGGAGTCGGTGAAGCTCTACAAGCCATCACTAGCGATGTCGCTAACGAACGGAATTGCTCGTACTCTACGTCTCTCAACGAAGTCGTTGAGAAATGCATCCAAGCTATTACGAATACCCCGTCTCGAAAGTCCCTGCTTGCGCTATTCTTGTACCAACGCCGACCAGAATTGCTTTCATTATTCATGAAATGGTTGACCTCCGGATTTGATCGATCTGTAGCTAAGCACGACCATTTCATCCCGTTCGATGAGTCGATGCCATTCACAGAAACCGATCTGTTCAATTATAAAGTCCCAGACATAGACCACGCATCCTTATTGGCGGACCAAGCAATCTTCAAACCAGTGACGATTCGAAAACTGAGACATCCTCGAATCAGCAGCAGCGAACGCTTGCCCTTTGTAGGCGGACTGGAATCGATCAAGAGCGGCTCTCAAGGCCAGGTTGTCAAGGCTACAATAGCACAAAGTCATTGGGAAATTCAAGAAGACGAAACTCAGAACGATGCCAATTTCGTGCCCGGTAACCCGAACAGCACGAAGGTTGTAGCTCTCAAGATTTTCGAGGCCGTGGAACCTGCTCGCGATATGGTAGAGGCTACCCGGGACTTCGAAATCGAGCTCAAGATCCTCAAGGAGTTGCGAACCTCCAATACTAAGCATGATATGATCTTGCTAGATTGGGGCAGTATAACCGAACTCGACGGGGCAGGAAAGCCGACCAGACAATCCCTCATCTTCGAACTGGCAAGTTTTAGTCTGGGTGACCTGCTCAACGATAAGAATCGCGCCCAGGAAGATATTGAACCATCTCGCCTGCTCGCCAGCCTTGTTGACATCGTCGAAGCATTAGAATGCTTGCACCATCAACTCAAAACTTTACATCTCGACATCAAACCTGACAACATCTTGATATTCGAGACCTTTTCTGGTACTGGGAACGAAAGACAGTCCAAGCTTACCTGGAAGCTCAGCGACTTTGGTCTGGCTCGCAAAAGAGATGCTAAGAAACGGAGGCTAGGGTCTGCACAGACCTCTACGGCTACGTCGCGAACATCGACTCAGCCCGCAACGAGACCGCCTGGTCTATATCAGGCTCCAGAGATCCAGGAGGAGGAGACTAGTGTAGCAGGTCAGGGTAGTGATGTCTGGTCTATGGGCTGTGTAACGCTCATGGTACTTGCGTTCATTGCCGATGGTTCAAAGGCAGTCAGGGAGTTAGAGACATTCTTGATGGTCGATTTCATGAACTGCGCTGGTAAAGAGCCATTGTTCTACGTAAGGAGCGACTCATATCAATGGGAAGACCGAGATAAGCACATCTGCTGCTATCTACCGGAGCAGGCCCCAAACGTGTGTATCATTCCAGGACCAGGAAGACAATTCAGCGCTGCTCTGCATCCCTTTCTTATACATTGGTCCAACACACTACTCAGAGCAACCTACGACCGTCGAATTGAGCAAAGATTTGTATTAGCCATACTCAAGGTGATTTTTGGACGGGTTCTTCGCGTCGATCGCAACCAAAGAATAGGAGCGACAGAGCTGCGTGATAGACTTGCCAAGATTCAGCGAGATTGGAAATCGTATGACCTTGCGCCTAAAGGCTACGAATATTGCTACCTCTCAGAAGAATTGAGGCTTCTGCAGGACGGCCACGCGGAAGAACATGGACCTAGCCGCCAAAGGCGATCTGATGAGTTCCTCGCATTGCAAGAACCAGAAACTTGCCACAGCATCTTGGAAACAGCCTCTCCTCCACCGACCATCACCGGCTCACGCGCGACTCTTCCGGATACTTTGCATAATTCTCTGCACTCAATATCCTCCAGCGGAGACTCTTTGCTAGAAGAATCGATCCATTCGCAAGATCGAGTGGCGCAAACACAAGACCCAATAGTAGTGATGCCATATGGACAAGTCCAAGCTCAAGATGAAACGACGGCATCCATGGAAAGGGAAGCACCGCAAGATCAGCGAGATGTCACGCCGGAGCAGAACCCACAAATACAACGAGAACTTTGCTCTGCAATTGAGCGGGATGATACTGCCAGCGTGAGACTACAGCTCGAACAGAACCCTGAGATATTGGCACAGCTATTGCCTTCCGCAAACAAACATCCTATCCATTGGGCTCTGTCCAACAACGCCTATAAAGCTCTCGATGCGCTTCTTGAGAAGGCGTCGCGTGAGATCACAAATCTGCCGTGTAGCCGACGCACTGCGCTGGATATCGCATTGGATTCGGGAAAGCCTGCAGCGCTTGACTGCATCCGAAAGCATCGCGACAAGTTTGAGTTCCCGCTTGCGCTTTACGAGAAGCGCAAGAAGAATCTTGGGCGGGAAGCCAAAGAGATCGCGGATGATCTGTTTGCTATCAAGAAAGCCGCGGCTCCTAAGCAAAGGACATTTCTTGGACTCCGTAGGAGCCGGACATCTAATCTGTCTGCATGACCTTGCGACTGTGTAAAAAAAACATGCGAATGTTATTGGCAGCTAAGGACCATGCTATTATCCTAATGGTCACACGTGTACCCCATGTTCCCCTTCTAGGGCCCGCTGAAAGCTCGCAATAGCTAGATGGTGCTACAAGGCTTAGCACTTTGGAAAGATAAGGTCGCAAGCAAAAAGAAATGCAAGGCTGTCGCGCCTGAACGCGCTGGTGTTGGCGATGCTGGATGGGCAAAAAGAAGGCAAAAACATACAACAGCGGGGATTCGCTAGTGGTCACCCACCTAACTACTAATCCGCCGGTACACTGCTTGTATATGGCTGAGCGGACGGGAAGCCTAATTCTCAGTGTCCTATGGTCGTATGTGAAAGAATGGGTTGATGATTGGCATTATATAGGCGATTTTGCGGAAGCGGTGAAGAGAAACGAAAGTAGGCGCCAGTCCCCGCTGCAATCACACCGCTCTGGCCACTGCAACTTTGGTTGGTCTAGTGAGTGATACGGTGTAGGGAGTTTGGTGGATTCGGTTGCTCATATTATACCCATTTCTCTTTTATGATACATAGTCTTCTTGGCGTCCATGTCCTTCCTCCAATTACTTCTGCAACACTGGCCATCCCTTGGCATACTTGATCGGATTCCATCCCAGAAACTTGAAGTTGTCTCGGTACAGCGGGTCGAATGTCGTGTTGACGTAATGGTAGTATAGCACATCGCTTCCGCGATAGTCGGAAATCACTGCCTGTCCTCCGGGTGCGTAGGTGTTGCCGTGACTGCCGTAGACCATGCTTCCGCCACCCTCGGCGAGATCTTTTCCATTGCGGTCCACGAAAGGTCCGCGGGGCGACTTTGAGCGACCAACAAAAATGGTGTACTCGGCTCCAGGAGGGGGCAGCGCAGCAGGGTTGTAGCCGCAGCACAGGCCCGCTGAGTACCAGAGGTAGTAGAAGCCTTGCTCCTTGTTGTAGTTGATATATGGGGCCTCTTCGGCGGATGCGCCGCCCCAGGAAAGAGACATGTTGGCGTACGCCTGCTCTTTAGTCGGCAGCACGGGATCGTAGGTATAGCTCAGCTGACGGGCAGTGGGGATCTTGACGGATTTGAGGTCCTTGGTCAGCTCGAACTGCCAGAGGTTGGCCCACCAGGAGCCGTAGGAGAGATAGCTTTTGCCGGTCTTGGCGTCTTGGATAAAAGCCGCGTCGATGGTATTGGTCTTGCTCAGCGGGAATGGCGCGTCGGTGCTGTTGGAAGACACGACCATGCCGTGGTCAGTCCAGGACCCATTTTGCAGGGTCTTCGAGGTGGCAAGTCCAATGAAGGACTCCGAGACGCCGAAGTCGGAGACGGTATAGTAGCAGTAATAGGTATCACCGACCTTGTGAACATCTGGGGCCCTGCATTATAGTGTTAATACGCAATTCCTCGTGGTATTTGCAACGTAGCTGCCTCTTACCAAAGGCGGTTTGCCTGAGCGGGATCATCAATGCTGCCAGGCGGCTCCAGAACTTGAGCGACAACCTCCCAGTACCCTTCCAGGCTGTTCTTCTTCGAAGCACGGGAGGTGGTTGCTAAGCCATGAGAGGAGAATGAGTAGTAGTGGCCGTCTGGTCCGAGCACAATACTTGGGTCGTGGATGTGGACACCACCAAGCGTACCGTTCAAGTCCTGACCTGTGATCTTGCGAGGCGCGGGCCAGTATTCCCTGGAGTAGGGGTCTTTGACTGGTTTGGGCGAGTTGTAAGATGGCGAAGGGGCGGCGAAGGCCGGGGTGAAGAGGGATGAGAACCCTAAGGCGAGAGCCGTGAGGCTGGCTTTAGTGGAGGACATCCTGGGTAGAAAGCGAGCTGGTGCGGAGATAAATCTCGGTGATCGGGAAACCTTTTAGTCTTATATAGCATACCGCATTTCGTCTATGATGCGGATCTGTCTCTCGCGCCTGGGCAAATCTTGTGTGCCATGCGCCTGCGAACGGCGCATCATACTGCCCTTACAGCGACACCCTTGTCGCGAACCACGATCCGTCCGGTCGGGTAGTCTGAGATGGGTAACGGTTCCTGGAAAGGGAAGGCAAAGAACCACTCTCCGCAAGTGACGTTGCAAAGGTGGAGATGGAGCCTTGGGGTAGGAAGTTTACGGGAGGCGGAGGATTTCGTTCGCTCGAATCAACGGCCAGCAAAACCGGCTAGTGGGGCCTGAAGTTGGCGGCCTCTCGTCGCCTTGAGACCCTGACATTCGGGAAGCGCAGGCGAGGACGAAATGCGCAGCAATGACAGTATAGTTTGCGACTGAGAGTCGGGATGTTGTGGGGAACGGGAGACAGGCTGGTCGCTAGTCTTCTGTAGCCACGAGGACCTTACCGTTCCAATCTCCCCATCTGATACCTATCTTCCGGCCGAAAGCGGACTCGAGAACGAATAGCTATGCATGCAACGAAGCCTTGAAGTACAATCGGAATAAGCGAGAGGATAAGTTGTCGCTATTTTGATGATTCTTCAGTGGTTTTCACGTCTTTTGAGATGCAGAGCGGATGGACCGTGTGGTAGGCACGGGCCTTCCACTAGCGGGTTTTCAAGATCGACGCCGCCATGAGTCTGGCCGTGGCTGATTGATTCGCGCTCTTGTCACTTTACCATCATAAATCACCTCACGGGCATCGCATCGTTGCGACCACTCAATTCATGAGAACCAGATAAATCAGTTCACAGAAATCTCAGAAATGTCTTTCGACCCTTCTAAGGTTCCGTCGGGTCGACACGCCTACCTACCTAGGCAGGTAACGAGCACAAGTAGGTGACCTCAGCCGAGTCCACCTACTCAGCCTTGAGGCCCACCTACTCAGCCTTGAAGACATGCATTGCGCCCCTCGTGGGGCTGCACCAGTACAAAGCCCAACTGTAACATCAGAGCCAGCATCCGCCATGCTCCAAAATTATCTGTCGATTCGCCATTGGCATCTTGCGAGACTTTGACATCACAAGCAGCATTCAGCATGATCGATATCGCTTTCCCAAAACTGCGCGATGACTGGAGCCTCGACGTCGTCAACATCCTAGCCTTCTTAGGCGAGCATAACATCGAAGCTTGCAGCCAGCAGATCTGCATGTCGTGGACGTGCTTCCTACCACGACTGATACCCGCGCCTCAGGGTCTCCTTGCGCGACGACCAAGGAAACTTGAGTCCGAAGAGGATACACCGGTGATAGGGATTCATACAGGCGTTACCAGGCCTGGCTTACACTATTTCGGTCGAATGTTATATACGGATTGGCCTGAGCTACCACCATTCACGACACGTGTAGTGAAGATACGGTGGGATCCCGAGAACGAAGATAGAAGCCTCAGAAGACGTCCACTTCGACCAAGATTGTTCGCGCCAATGAACACGATCGCTATCTTCAGCTGCGCATTGAGCTTCGGACTGGCAGCATGGGCTCTTGTGCTTGGGGATGCAGTCGCACTTACTGGTATCCTGGTCATGAGTTTTACGACACCTCTACTCTGTGTCGGGATGCATTGGACGCCATGGATTCTGCCTGTTATGCCGAAAAGTGCTGAATCGCCACCAGGTACGGTTGTCATCAAATCTCCAAACGGATCCTTCACGGTTGTGGAATGCGACGAGCAGATCGCGCGTATTCTTTACTTCCACCCTGATACCATCGACTATGCGGTCAGCTCCTTCACGGGGCGCGGCTTGAGCGGGACCATGGGTGGGCTTACACTTGTGGGCTCCATTGTACTTTTCGGTAATGCCGTATTGACAATGAAAGCAGCACTTGCTGTCACATATACGGTCTTGAATATTTTATATTGGATCGCCGCAATTCTGCCGCTCCGCTTGTCGTGGCACATCGATCTGGAATTAGATCCACCACAAACCACTAAACATGATTGCTGGACACAATGCCTTTGGACAACCATCTACACTACACAGAAGATTGACTGGGCAAGGGAATGGGTGCCAAGGACTGATGTGTGGGACCAGTGGCTGGAAGAAGCACAACACATGAGTAAACGCGTGCAACGACATGAAGACTGGGATGCGCTGGGAGCTATGATGGACTTTAAGGAAAGGCCAAAGATTCAGCAGGAAGACTAGCTAGATATACAGTGACGTTTGGAAGAGTGAGGGGGGTAATTCAGGCGATTGCAAGTTTGCTACGCGGGTAGAGGAGAATGAGCCTCGGGGTTACTTGCTCTTCGCTACAACCCAAAAGCTTTTGGGACCATAGCTGGCCCACGCTGGTATGCTCTTGCAGGCAAGAGAGCTATATAAACATCAACATGTTCACTAATGCGGCTAGTTCAGGCCAAACCAAGATCCAGGCAATACTCACATGCGACACCGGAATGGACAGTCATATGATCAGCAATGTCCACGTCTATCTCGTATCAAAATCCGGAGCGGGCCTTCGTCGGCCGATTACAACACCCCGTCATCGCTCGTGCCCTGCCAAGACACGACCCAAGATACTGTACGGTCAAACGTCGCGGACGCTAAGCAGCAAGAGCTGAGCATATGACTGGCATCATTAATCAGTCGTGTGTCCTCCCCATTGTGAACTAGTATTTAGCGGATCAAGACACCCGGGTATCTATCTTCAGGATGGCACCTCATACGAGAAAAAGACTGAACAGGTCTGCAGGCTACATCAAACTAAAACCTTGCAAAGTAGGTGATCTAACGTCAACATAGGCTCCAGGCTGTTCAGTTTTTTCCTAGGTTGGCGTGATGGCAAGATTTTCGAGCTATGAAGGATCTACTGGAGGCTGGGCGGAGCTTGTCAGCATCCAGATTGCGGAGATCGGAGATTAGTATAACTACGTGCCAGCTCCCTTAAGTTTTCACGATCTCCGCTGCGAGTTGAATATCGGCGGTTAAAAACGTTCGTCATAATGGTGAACCCTACATCAGTGCTTGTCGCTGCTTCCTTGCTCATCAACCCTTTCGCCGCGGCTTCGAGAGGAAATAACGAGTATGACGCCGAATACTCTCCCAAGTAATGCTACACCCCCGATTTTGCAGTCCACCATACTCATTTCCCACAGCTACTCAACACCAACCTCATACACCAACATAACATCCATCCTCGACAAAATCCTGGCACGTGGCTACCTAAAAGTCGGCACAACAGGAGACTACAAGCCCTTCTCCTACAAAGTAACAAACCAAACCGCACTCCCCGCCACACCAGCCATCAACACCACCTACATCGGCGCCGATATCGACTTGGCGCAGGCACTTTCCAACTCTCTCGGCCTGCCACGTCCCGTTGAGTTTGTTCCTACCATCTGGGCAAACATCACAACAGACCTCGTAGCGCAAAAGTTCGATGTCGCTATGAGCGGCGTTAGCATCACCTTAGCTAGGGCACAAAGGGTCTTCTTTTCTACTGCGATTCAACGAGTGGGTAAGGCAGCCTGCGTTCGATGCGCGGATCTAGAAAAGTTCTCGTCTCTGGAGGCTATTGATACTGCGGGTGTCAAAGTCGCTGTTAACCCAGGCGGCACGAACGAGGCGTTTGATCGGGCGAACTTGAAGGCTGCTACTATTGTTCTGGTGCAGGACAATAACGCCGTCTACAAAGCTGTTATGGATGGAGATGCCGATGCGATGATTAGCGATATCATCGAGGTTGAGTTGCAGGTTCGGCTGCATCCTGATGTGCTCTGCATTGTCAATCCGAATGCGACTTTTACGTTTGAAGAGCTGGGGTACATGGTTGGAAGGGATGTTGTGTGGAAGCAGTATGTGGATATGTTCGTACATATCCAGCTTGGAAGTGGTGGGTGGAATCGTACGCTGGAAAAGTGGATGTCGTATAAATGGCCTTCAGTGTAAATGAGTGTGTACAGGACAGCTATCGATAGAGGATACACGTGTAGCTGCTCAATCACGAAGGCCAGAAATGTAAGGTCATTAGCTATACCAGACGCAATAGGAAGCGGGTGGTAAAGCCAGAGATGTTATATCCGGTATTGAGTGATGATAGTGATGCCTGCATTTGCGTAAGCACTAGAACAACCGTGCTTACTGCGTACCGCCTGTAGCATCACTCATTGGCCGGTCAAAACGCCTCTCAGTATCTTTACGCCACATCGGAGGTGTTTTGGCGATGGTGGCGATGACGCATTTCTGTGTCTGAACTGGTCAACGACACCTCCATCTTCATCATAACCCTTGTTCGACAATAGCCATCTTTTGGAGGGCGGTTGCAAATGGCCACCCAACAAACGGAAGAAGGTGCCCAGGATGAATCAACCCCCCTCCTCTGGCATATGTCCGTCAATAGGGACAGCAACTCCAGCATTCTGTTCATACACGGCGCCTTTGTAGACGCTCACGATTGGGATCTTGTCGTGCCCCACGTCCAGGCCTACCATCTTCTTCTCCCAGACTGCCCTGGACACGGTCACTCGTCGCACATACCGTTTTCCATCGAGACATCCGCAGAGCACATCGCGCGTCTGATAGAGGCACAAGCTATCGGCGGTCGAGCCCACGTTGTTGGCCACAGTCTCGGTGCTTCTATCGCTGTCTGCCTTGCTGCGAACCACCCTCATTTCGTCGAATCGATGTTTATCTCTGGATACAGCGAAGCGCCTGTTTCCAAAGTTCCGCTACTACCTTACCTGCTCTGGGCCTCAAATCGCATTGAAAACGCTGTCCCACGACCTTGGATTCGCTGGCTCATGGACGGTACAGATCTCCGCCGCACAAACACTCCTTCATTATCGCTTTGCACACAGATCGCGCATACCGACAGCGCAGCGGCGCGACTGCACCCATGGTCTGCACGAACCCTGATCATTGTCGCTGGGAAGGG